AATGGTCTAGGACAATAGACAGCCTGATTAATTTTGGGTTAAAATCTGTTCATATTAATTCTCTAATTAGCATAATAATTAATATTTTTTTGGTTCTAATCACATTTCAATGAAACTTGGTACATTGTGCAGACCTTATTAGTTTTACACTTAAATCTGTTCGTTACCTTATTTGCATAATTAATTTTCTGCGTTTCCATCAACATCTCAAGTTCAAGTAATTTTGAATTAATTTTTAATGTGTCTCCAATACTCTCAGCACACAGGAGTTCTTTCTAAGCTTTCTTTGATACTTCTTTGATGTTTTGAGCAATTTCACAAGTTTCAAGTTCACTATCTTGACAGTGAAACAATTAGCTCTATTGTTATTGTACATGTTTGTGTGAATTTAACTAGCGAATTTTACTTGCCAACGAAAATAGCGAAATTAAAATCCAGTGAATCAATAATGTGTTCACTGTATTTGCTTTATTAAAAGTACAAGTACTTACGTAAATGACAGAAGTGCGTCTATGGTCAAAATAAGTCGTATTTATTGATCTAGCCACAGTCCCTGAGGGACTGTGATCTAGCGTACATAAATTATGTTGCGGAGTGCTCGTTCAGTGATCTCAAAGTTGATCAAAGTGACAGCTATGTTTGGTCGTGTTTTTGGTCGTGCTTTGGTTGTGTCATTTTGAATATATCGGTAAAATAAAATATATAGTAAAATATCACAAAAACATAATTTTCATTGATGGATGACTACAGATCAAACGATATTGATGCTTTGAATGAAATTGACATTGAAATTTGTGAATTTCCAGTGGGATAGCCACACCTCCAATAAACAACTACTACCCCTGGCAGGATTACATGCAAGTTAAATCATGGTCTTGTGATGCTTACGCATATACTAGGAAACTGGCAAAAATTTTAAGGGAGACTTGTAACCAATGGAAACAAAAATTTCGCTGGTTATTAAACTCCCAAAAAATTAAACATTGAACGTCATGGTATCCGGGATAAAGCAAACTAATACATCCCTCTGAGTGGCAAATTCAATCTCAGGCACCATCCATAACTCCATTTGTAGTTTTGACGAAAATTTCAACTGTTTTGATCAAAAGCTAGAAGCAGTGTCACATTTTGACTGTTTGGTTTAAAATAAAGATTTCATTCAGTGAAAGTTACAGAAAATGTTAACAACTCCCCCCCCCCCCTCCCTCTTTGAGCAGGAAACATATTTGGTGCTCAAAGAATTAAGTCTTGTTTCTCCCATACAAAGTATGAAATTGCCTCGGTCATCGCGGCATGCTTCACGTCAACAAATATGTAAATTGACCACGACTGGGGTCAACATTTGTAAGATTGTACCAGATAAAACGATGTTGTAAAAAGCAGTGCATTACAAGATCTATCTCACCACACTTTCCAACTACAACATCCATATTTTTTATTCACAAGTAGTTATTTCATCACACTTCCCACCATTCATTTTATTTTGATATTCTCTAATCCCTCATGGTCCATAGCGTTGAGAAAAACCATTGAAAGTTTGGATTTTTTTAGTTCTGGAAAGTCTTTAGTTGTCTTGAGATTACAATAAAAAAATCCTTGAAAAGTCTTTAAATTACTTCATAGTTATTAATTCATTTTAGAAAGGCCTGTTTTTTACCAGGGAACTACCATATCCTCAGAACTTTGATGAGCTTTAGTGATGATGTTAACCTGATTTAAGGGTCAACATTTCTTGGAAAAATGCAAGAAAGTTTGGGAAAAGGTCTGGAAAAATCTTGGGAATCATTTGGTTCTTGGTGCTATAGACCCTGTTCCTAATCTCTTTCTAAAATTACTGTCATATTTTTAATTCTGCTGAACGCAGCTATGGGCAATCATCTCACATTTCAGAAGTTGCCATGTTTACTTATAAACACACATGTGCACACAAATTAAAAACAATATCCTGGGGATAGTAACAACAAACATAATAAACATGCAATAAAAAATAATTTACATATAAATGTATACTATAAAACATCTAGCACCGAAATCAATAGAATTTACACTTCCGTAAATCAGCACTTATTCTAAAATGTTTTGTTTCGTATTGAATCAAATTTTCTCTCATATGGGGTACACTACTAGACCAACATTGATGCATTTAAGCGTAGACCCTCCAGTAGTGTAGGTCTAAGATTTAAAGGCATTCACATACTTTTCTTTGTTTACAGTAGACACGGAAAGCACTAAAGTGTGACGGAATACTCATCACTGAACACATTTGCACAGCGCATAACATTTTTTTTTCGTTCTGGGCTATAATCTCTTCTTAAACTATTACTACAAGCAGGAAAGAATGTATAATATTGAATAAGATGTCACAAGAATACCGCAAAATATGCACTCGGGCAGTACTGGATTGCATCGACCTCCATTCACTACACATTGGTTGATACAACCACTGTAATGCCTTTGTACATACTTTGTGGTATTCTCATGATAACCTCATATTGAAATTATAACTTTAAAAGTATAATAAGCAAATAGTTACCAAAGTTGCAGTCAATATTCGGGTTAATGTTCCAGGGAAATTATTGACTGAGGTGCAAGTGACCATGTTCAATGTGACAATCATGAATGTAATGTATAATAATGTAATATATTTCTAAAATTTCGGACAAATAATTTCTATCCATAATTCTTTCTCTCTTACAGTAAATATGTTCGAGAGTTCTTTTGTTTAGACGAACCACCAGGACCACATGACAGCTTGGAAGAAAGTCGAGTAAGTCTCTCTCTGTCTTCTTTTGTGGTTTCCTGGAATTTTTCCAATTATAAACAATGTACACATATTGAGATGACCTCAATGGGATAATGGAAACGTATTTTGATGACAGGCTACACAATTTAAAGTTGCATTCCTCATTTGTATGATCTGCAGAATACCTTTCTCTAATCTTTGTCAATAGTTTCTTTGAATTTTGTTCGTTTCTTAAGAATCCTGGAATCCATCCAACAATAAAAGTTTAAGGTGATTAGAACCACAGTGTTCAGTACAGGCTAGCTTCAGTGCTCTAATATATTAGGATTTGTTGTCATAGCAACTGATTTTATCATTTATCACGATGATCACAATAATCATTAATAGGTGATCTGCATATACTACAAAATATGAATGCAAGTTTAATGTACTGCAATTTACATGGGTAATACAGAAACTAATTCAATATAGTTTACTATACAAAAAAAATGTTCAAATTAAACAAGCTTTTTAATTCAAACCGAAAGAATTTTGTGCTCCAGAGAAGTGAACTGATTTTATGAATATTTTTTTTTCTTGAGTTGAAAAAAAGCTGATTACAGTTACATGTAATTAATTTGAAAATTATCTAATTAAACTGCAGGCTATTATAAATTATTGTCCGTCATTTATCTACACAAACAAATTGTATGTTCTTAGTTTCAAGCAAACTGTTAGAAATGGAAATGGTTAATTAATATAAAAATTAGCTAATTAGTATGCATAGAATATTATAAACTCTAATTCAATGTTTGTCTATATAAACAGCAAGCATGGACAATCCATTTGAATAAATGTACAAAGAATTTGCTAAAATCAGTAATTTATGCAAATACATGTACACTAATTGAAATGCACACATTGATATTCCAAACAATTATCAATTATTAAACTACATCAGCAACAAGTGTACCAAGTGTCCATCAATTTGAGATACCTGTTAATGTATAACCAAAATATAATAAAATTAGTTGATAAGTATGCAAATTAGCTTATTAATATGGACAGATTAATTAAAAACTAGAGTTAGACATCCAACTTAAACATACACAGTTTACGAATACCAAGTTTCAAGCCAAATGAGAAATAAGTTGTTCTCATACAGAATAAGCAATTGGAAACAGTTAATTAGTATGCAAATTAGCTAATCGATTTGCTTAATTTTACATGATAATCAGATATGCATCTATATTTATGTTTTCTATATTCATCTATTTAATAAATCTATCGTAATTCATAATTATAATGTTATTATTTGTGCTAGGCATTATGCGAGAGTCTTGAAGATGCTGTTTACCATCTAAGGCATGAGGTTGCGAAAAAAGACAAATTAATTGGTCGTCTTACCGAAGAAGTTGTGGCATTGAGAGAGGAAAATGAACAATTGCTAAAATCGTTACGGTGAGTTTTAGGCAATTGGGAAAGCTTGGACAAAACATTTGTGTGAACCGAAGACGCACTCAGCTGCATCATTAGTCCAGAACAATGAAATATGGTGTATTGTTGCATTTAGTATGGAAATTCTTTTCCTGTTGTTAATCCATATTAGAAAGGCAACACCAGTAAAAGTACTGATACTGTGACAATAAACAAGTTTTGAGTTGGACTGTACCTTAGAAACTTGCATGCTCCGGTGTAAAACATCCCAATTTCGTCTGTAGAGGGGTTGATTTTGCCACAGAAATGTTCGGTACCTCATCAGAACACCGGGAAACTGTGAAACCAGCAAATAAACTCCTACAGCTAGAAATACACCCCTATTCTTGCAGAAAACCAACTCATAGCGCTGTAACTCAAAACTCATCTGTTAGAAACATAACTCAAATATAAACATTCATAAACCATTAATTGCATTTATTGGATGCTGGATCATAAAATTATCGACTTATTTTATTATTTTCAGTAGCGAAAATAGTTCTTCAAGCTTCCGTCAATCTTCGCCCCCACCTGAGAGTGAGAGTAGTCTGGCTGAGTGTGAATACCCATCTGCTGTGGAGGCCGACCAATCACATACCAATGAAGATAGTGACAAATCAAGGTAAGAACATCACAGTGTTATACAGTTATTATTTATATTATCATATATTAACAGCAACTTAACGACGATAATTATCGATATTGGATGAAATCAAGTACAATAAGAGAACAACGTCGCAGTAAGTCAGGTAAAACTGCAAGCCAGTATGCAAACTTTTCGAGTTAAATTAGCCCTCAGTGGGGAAACTCATTCAAAAGTGTCTTCCTTTTATCCTTTTTTACCATTCACACACATGCATACCTACCTTCACAGTATTACAATGTATTACTATTGTTGCATCTGTCTACAAAATATTACCTTGTATTACTGTTTCATACCTGCTTTTACAGTATTACAATGTATTACTATTGTGTACATATGTCTACAAAATATTACATTGTAATAATATTTCATACATGCTATTACAGTATTACAATGTATTACTATTGTGTACATATGTCTACAAAATATTACATTGTAATAATATTTCATACCTGCTATTACAGTACATGTATTACAATGTATTACTATTGTTGCATCTGTCTATAGAATATTACATTGTAATACTATTTTATACCTGCTATTACAGTATTACAGTGTATTACTATTGTGTACATATGTCTACAAAATATTACATTGTAATACTATTTCATACATGCTATTACAGTATTACAATGTATTACTATTGTGTACATATGTCTACAAAATATTACATTGTAATACTATTTCATACATGCTATTACAGTATTACAATGTATTACTATTGTGTACATCTGTCTACAAAATATTACATTGTAATACTATTTCATACATGCTATTACAGTACATGTATTACAATGTATTACTATTGTGTGCATATATCTATAGAATATTACATTGTAATACTGTTTCATACCTGCTTTTACAGTATTACAATGTATTACTATTGTTGCATCTGTCTATAGAATATTACATTGTAATACTGTTTCATACCTGCTTTTACAGTATTACAATGTATTACTATTGTGTACATCTGTCTACAAAATATTACATTGTAATACTATTTCATGCCTGCTATTACAGTACATGTATTACAATGTATTACTATTGTGTGCATATGTCTACGAAATATTACATTGTAATACTATTTCATACATGCTATTACAGTATTACAATGTATTACTATTGTGTACATATGTCTACAAAATATTACATTGTAATACTGTTTCATACATGCTATTACAGTATTACAATGTATTACTATTGTGTACATCTGTCAATAGAATATTACATTGTAATACTATTTCATATCTGCTATTACAGTATTACAATGTATTACTATTTGATACATATATATACACATGTAGACTTTTGCCATTATATATGGCCCATTACATTGATTTTGAAATGACTTCTCACAATCTTTGTTGCGTTTTATTATTGAACATATTAACATAACTTGGACACTTTCACAAACATACATCCTAAATGATTAGTGCGCCCTCAGTGTGTAGATATTACTTTATATTTGTTTTTATATACAGAATTTAATTGCAGAAAAGCAAGAGCAGGTCCCCTAGTTGGCCTCACAATGTATTACTTATTTACTCCCTAGGTTACTTTAAATGTTGTCATGTTGGATGATCATCGATAAAAAAATCATATTAATGTTGACCATGAAACCCTCCTCTGCATGTCGCATTTAAATAATCTAAGCGTCTGTCCTTACAAACTATTTAAACATCAATCAACATTATCTTAAGCCCAGAAAAAGATATTAATGTGTTTTTGGTCATAGCATAGCATCAGTTGTTAAAGATATGTAGCAGCTTTTTTTTTTTTTTAAAGTGTTTTGTCATAGGTTCAGAAAAAATGATAATTCATTAAAAATTGCAATACAAATAAAAAATGACCAGAAATGTTGTTTTTTTTTTTTTTTTGCCCTGGTGCTTACTATAGTCTCAACTGTACAAATACAAATATCAGAATTTTTTTAGAATTTTTTTTATTGAAACAATTGATAATATGAGGATATTAAAGTTGAAGATGATGAATCTCTGTTATTATACAAATTACTACTTCCTAAATTGGTGTCAGTATCTTTCTACGTTGGTGGGGGTGTACTGTGGTGTTTTGCTGGTACATGTCACCTGTCCATCCTATGGTAAGTATCTCATTTCAGTTTTGACACACACACAGACAGACAAATGGAACTTGACTTTAATATTCATAACAATGATTCTGGATTGGCTCGCCTATTTCTCCAAATATTTTGAATGAGTTTATGAATTATACATGGCACAAATTGTTTATGGTTATATATTAATATATTTTGCTATTATTAAATTGGTATATCATGTAATATTTCTAAAGCACTTGAGTAGACTCAAATCTGCAGTTTATAAATCAAGTATATATAAAGGACTTTGAACTATTTGATTGCTAAGTTAGAATATAAATTCACAGGAAATAAACAAACAAAAAAATACATATATGTGGTCTATTGAACATTGTCTGTAATCAAGTTCATTGCGCTGTACTATGCCTGTGTCAAAAGTCAACTTATGTCCATTATTTAACACTCTGCACATAAACTCAGCATTTCACCAAGTCCATTGTCATTTAAAAATTATTAAAATCAATATAATTATTAATATTATTGATTTTACATGCTACAGTAAATATTGGGATACAATCAAGGATTCTTTAAATTATGCAAATGAGACATAATTAATATATTGACAGAATCTAATAATGGCCTTAAAGTAAACAATAATAAGATCAATCTTCACTTAATACTGGCTTAGTTATCAACACTATATGTAATATTAAATGTAGTGCTGTAATAGGTTGTATTGCTTGAATCCAGATGCATGTATATTTAGTAGTAAATATTATTATCTTTAATTTGCGTCTTTTTTTCTTGTCTTCTTTGTAAATGGCGTTACTTTAAGTGTCAGCTTTCTTTGTGCATAATGTATCAGCTTTCCTCTTAGACTTGATTTATAATTTTCACACAGAAAAAAGAAAATTAACATATTAAGTTAATTTATGCGTTGGTTATTTGCTGGTAAGATACCTGAACCATAAATGTGATACATTGCCTAGGGTGTTACCGTAGCAACAAACACAAACATCATGAAATAAAATATTAATTTCCTTTTTTTTCAGCATTCTGAAAAGTGATGTATCAAGTAGAATGTTGGAAGAGATAACAGTCGTCACTTTGAAAAAAACATTCCGTGTTAGATTTAGTGATATCGTTAACGAAGTTGAATGCATATCAAGTCTGGAATAGTGTCTACAAATTCTGCTGTGTCTTATCTGTGACAGTTGCTATTGGTTACAGTAGTGTATCTTTCATGCAGTCTGAGTGGATCAACATCTCCATCTATCTGTCATCTCAGATTTTGAGGTGATATTTGAAAAACAATTTTATGAAAGATATAGCATTTTGAAGCAGTTTAAAGGGGGAAGTCCGGGCAAACGACATAATGCTACCAGATGATATGTAGTCCACCATCTTGATTTTCCAGCAAAGAATTATGGGTAAAGTATGACATCATAGCCACTGTTGTGATTAACTGAGAAAATGGTTGTTTTCCCTGACTTTCCCATTAAGTTAACTAAGCATCATCATCAAGGTATGTCATTTTGAAGCATGTCTCAATCAAATATATAACAACAGTGCTATATAACTGCCTTGCATTCGTCAAACGAAGACATAATATGGCTGCCTGCATTTTTTAAAAGAAAAAACAATATGGCTGCCTGCTTTCTTTAAAGATAATATGTGTTTTATTCATACTTATTATTTACATTGTATTTTATTTATTAAATGTTGTTTTTTTACAATTTTATTGCTGTCAACTGATAGAAATTGTATTTCTTGAAATGCAATAAATTATAATATGGCTGCCTGCTTTCTTCGAACAAAGTCATAGAATATGGCTGCTTACCAGCATTTTTTCTAAGCCTTATTTGAGTGCAACTTTCTTTGTGATCTCATCAAGCAATTAGCTATCCAGTAATTTAAAAGTAATGATATTTTCACAATGAGATTCTTATCATTTTAGCCAAATTAAGATTTCTTTAATTAATGCATTAAATTAGCATGTTGCTATTTGTTGTTTCAAGTGTTATAAAGTATATATTCATAGGGAAATACTACTGCTTGTTTTCTTTAAGGTGTCTGTTCTGTGCTATTAAAATTTACAAGAGGTAATTGGGTCAAAATTCAAGATAAAGCTGCTTGGCTGAGATTTTTCTGGATTTCCAATATTTCAATGCATTTGTATTTTGTTTTAAGCTGAATTACGATGTTTTATTACACATGTGTTGCTCTCAGGTATTGTTCAGACCAAACAGAATCTTAGACCCAAGGGATGCTTTTGTGGGAGTCCTGAGTCAAAATGGAATCCCCCAAAAAACAAGTTGAGTCAGCTTTTAGTTTCAGCTGCTGGAAAGGTTGGTCTTCAAGAAAAAACAAAAAAAAACAAATTTTATGTGATGTATGTTGACTTGAGGTACAAAAAAAGTTTTGGTCCTGATTTCTTTGCATTTACACTTATCTTGTTTAAAAAAATGTGAATTTTATGTTGCCAAAGAACAAATTTCATAAATATATCAAGGTGTTTTTCAATCAATGTATATTTTTTGCAGCAGTGAATTGTCGAACATAGTGCATCAGTGGTGGGTCGTATCGGCTTATACGGCACATTGATGGAAACCTAGGTCTTTGTATTGAATGCTAGAATCTATTTTGAAATGGGTTTGATTTTCAACCAAACACTAAAATTAAAGTTAAATATATATATATATAGAGAAAGAGAGAGTTCTTGAGGAATTGTTATGGCAACAGTATTTTATTGAAAGTAAATTTTTATGGTGCTTTTAAAATATTTTATTATTGTTTGTTACCAGTGTGTCCTGTAACAGGAATTCTGAGTCAAAATAGAATCCCCTAAATCAAGATGAGTCAACTTATTGACTGCTGGGGGGAGGTCCTGATTTCATTTTTCCAAATTCAATTACTATAAGTAAGATTTTTTTTTAAGATCTCCATATCAATGTATGGTTTTCTGTTGCATCAATCACACGTCAGTGAATTAGCACAATTATTTGCATCACGGCAAATCTTTGCGAGTCAGTTGCAGTTGTATCGTCTTAGAGGGCGTACTGGTACAAATGTAATACATAAGATGTAAATAATTTACACATTAAAGTTTTAAAAACTACTATTGTGATCTGTCTGCTTATTTTAATCCTAGTGTGTCTTGGTGATGAATGTGTGTTAGGGTGTCCCATCCCCAGGTCACAATTATACAATATTGTACTTGTTCTGTATTAGAAGCACATTTCCAAAAGAAGCATAGGTAACCCCCCAAAAATATGATGAATACTGCATTTGCTACAATAATTTATATAGAATTTTATCCTATAGGCTACAATAGATTAATATGATTTTTATCCCTTAGGGTACAATATATTTATATGGATTCTATTGCCTTAGGCTATACAATAAATTCGTATAGATTTTAATCTTCTAGGCTACCATAGATTCATATGGATTTTAATTCCTTAGGCTACAATAAATTTATATGGATTATAATTCCATAGGTTACAATAGAACACATAGAGAGGAGGTAGCAAGTCGCAGCTGAATACACTGAAATTTTTTTTTACACAATGAATATAGATCCTCTCTAGACAAGATTGTAATATTTATGTTATTTTTTTATTTAATGGTAGTGCTTCTTTGATTTCAGTGTGACAACTCCAGATATGCCAGAGACTCACTGGAAATCAAAACTGTCAACTACTGATAATACTGTGAAGGGTGCTGATCAAGTCTCTCCTCCAGAAATATCTACTCAGTAGTAAATGGACAACCAATCAGAGAATACCTACTAAAAAGCTGGTTAGGAACACCACTTATATTACTTTGTCAGTTTTGTCACACAACTTATGATTGGTAATTGAATTCACTGTTCAGTAAAACTGCCCAATTGTAGAATGCAGTTGACACAGATTATTTCATTGGTCCATGTGGGACATGTGACTCAAATCCTATGGTTACTCTAATGCAGGGTCATAGGTGAAACCTTCACTGCAGTAGCAGATGATCATGTGATCACTATGTTTGGTGACGTACATTATAGATTGGTCAACCTACTGTAATGTGACAATCAGGTGGGGAGGAGGTTCATTTTGGTTGACCACATTAAAATATTCCCGTTGTGGCAGTGACAATTATTTTTTTTATTTTCAGCACTTTTGTGAAATAGAAGTCATCATAAATCAAATTGCTGAATATTTTGAGTGGACTAATCTGTACAGTTCAGTTATTTGAAAATTTATTTTCAAATACTTCTTTTAGAATGATAATGATAAGATATTAGCCATTAAAGTTGTTGATAGTCAGAACATAGTAACCAATCAGGCTCCTATTTTCAACGCAGATGAAAATTTTATTACAGTATCTCATTTTATATTTTACGATGAGTGATTCGCTAGTAGCAATAATCAAAATTAACTGCCGCCTTGTTCAAGGTGCTTCCTTTAATTGAACTTAATTGGTGAATAAAACTTATAAATATAACTTGTCGTGTTGGTATTAACGAGTCTAAAATTAGAAGATTTAGAATACTGAGGTAGCCTGAATATGAATCATACTTTCATTGCCACGGAGACGCAGTTAACAGTAGTTTCAAGATACCCATAGGGACAATTTGAGGCATATAGCGCCCTCTATAGGCTAGTATTGCCAAAATTGAATAATCAGTCACTTTAATATGATCACTTCCCATAATTTACATAAAATGTACGACAATTATTTACAAGAAAGTACTACCACTAAATTGGTATTTTGTTGATTTATTTTTAATAATGTTGATTTTTGCAGTAGAAATGTTCTTTTTATTAGTTGCTAAAAATAAGCTGCCATTCATAATGTGCATTGGAATCCTGATTCTACAAATTTTGTAACTTTAAAGTGAAAATAATATTTTTTTAAAATAGCTTAGAATTTAAAAAAAAATATTTTGCTGTTTTTAAGCTTTGAATCATGTCTGTTTGCTTTGTTCATTTGTTTTTATCTAGTATGTTGTACTGTAAACCGCTTAATTTTTGCTGCTGGAAAGTTTTGCGATTTTATGATATCCTTGAAGACAAATTTTTGTGAAAGTCATTGATACTCTGGTAGTACGACACCAAATAAATTTTCACTGCTGGAAAGTTCAAGTTCAAGTTCATTTTCATTGATTTATGCATATTTGGCATTCATGAATTAAAGCGTTTTACAGTATTTTATAATGTAAGGATTGACGCAACTAACTTGTAAACAATTTTAAAGCACTACAAATTCTTAATGGTTCTCTGAGTGGAAGGTTCCTTCAAATAAATGACAAAAGGCAAATAAAAAGATGGGGCACCCAAACTGTGATTTCACCCATAATGCTAAAAGTAGCCATTTTGAATTTGAAATAAAAAATACACACAACCAAGCTTCATAATTCAAAAATTAATTGAGGTATCCAAAATTTTTTCTTTTGGGTTTCAAATAGCCTGTCAAAAATAGTTCGACAAATTTCTAGGAAAATTCTTTGAAGTGTGTAGCTGCACCATCCCTAACAAGTTTCAATCATACTGAATACTGCTCTCAATGAAAAACTCAAATTTATTTTTCATTGTCATGGTTGAGGGCATCCTAACTGCTGCATTTTATAAGTAGAAAACTACTTCCTGTATGACTAATAATGAATAAAATCTGAGGGAATTTGTTTTCTGCCAATTAATCTGATTATATATTCTTATCTATTTGTTGGGATTTTTCGTAATTGCAAAAGTGGTGAGAATTTAAAATAAGGTATATGTATTAAAAAAATAACAACAAATAATAAAAATTGTCCTAAAAATAAAATAAAGTGTATGAAATAAAAATATAGGTCCACATCAGATTGGCTTTGCATCTACCTTTGATATAATGGTAAAATAACGTCTCATAATAATATCAATAAAAACTCCAAACCTCTAAGCAATATTTAAATCTGCATTCATGCTTTACAAAATGGTGAACACCACATCTAGATTACCCATAATTCCTGCAAAAGTTTTGTAGAACATTTTGCCTGTACTTTTCAATAATGTTTTTGATAATTTTGGACTAAATGATCATTTTCTATTGGCTAAAAGTCTTAATCAAATTATGAAAAAAATTCTGAAAAAAAATGTGGGTTTAAAATTTGTGAAAGGTGATAAAAATTGACCTTTTTTTTGACTAAAAGTAGATATCCTGTTTTGACCTTTCTACATGCTACATTTTGAGAGTAATGGAGGTACTTATCCTTTGAATTCACCCTCAATGTAACTGATCTTCCAGGATGAACAAAACCTAACTCCTAAATGAGTGGTGAATGTT